ATAACCAGAAGTGGAATTTCTGGATCCTATGATAATTATATTTTTCATATTTGAAGAAACTCCATTAAGTTTTCCATATGGCTCTACAAACTTACATTTCTACCAACAGCATAAAACAGTTTCCTTCGTCTTCAGACACTTGCCAACACTTTTTTTTGACAAAAGCCATCCTAAGAGATGTGAGGTAATATCTCATTGCGATTTTGATTTGCATTTCCCTCAAAATCAATGAGTACCTTTTTATATACCTGTTGGATATCTTTATGACTTCTTTGGAAAACTGTCTATTCAGGTCCTTTGCCCATTTTTAAATCAAGTAATTTGTTTTCTTTTCACTATTGAGTTAGATGAGTTTCTTATGTATTTTATTTCAACCAGTTGTCATATCTTGGGAGTCATATCCAAGAAATCATTGCCAAAACCAATGTCAAGAAGATTTTACCCTACATTTTCTTTGAGGACTTTTAGAGTTTCAGATCTTTCATTTAAATATTTAATCCATTTTGTGTTAATATTTGTATATGTTGTAAGATAAAGGTCCAATTTCACTCTTTTGTATGTGGTTATCCACTTTCCCAACATCATTTATTTAAAATACTTGATGCTCTTGTCAAAGCTTAGCTGACTATATATGTGTGGGTTTATTCCTAGGCTTTCTTTACTATACTATCTGTCTGAGTTTGTTTTTATGTCAGTACCATCCTGTTTTGATTACTGTAGCTCTGTAATACAGTTTGGAATTAGTGCATGTGATATCTCCAGATATTTCTTCTTTCTGAAGATTGCTTTGGCTATTATTGGACTTTTGTGGCTCCATATAAATTTTAGATTTTTTTTCTATTTCTCTGAAAAATGCCATTGGAACTCTGATAAGGATTACAATGAATTTATAGGTCGCTTTGGATTGTATGAACACTTTAACAAGATTAATTCTTTCAATCCATGAACATGAGCTAGCTTTCCATTTGTGCCTTCTTCAATTTCTTTCATCAACATCTCATAATTTTAGGTGTACAGATCTTTTGTCTCATTAAAATTATTCCTAAATATTTTGTTCTTGTTGATGCTACTGTAACTCAAACTGTTTTCTTAATTTTTCAGATGGCTCATTGTTACTTTTCAGAAATCTAATATTAACATTGAATCTACAATTTTACTGAATTCATTTATTAGCTCAACAGTTTTTAATGGATTTTTCAGGGTTTCCTATATATTAGATCATATCATTTGCAGAGACAACTTCTTCCTTTCCAACTTGAATGCCTTTTATTCATTTATTTTTGCCTAATTGCTCTAAGACTTCCAGTACTATCTTGAATACAAGCGGCAAAAGTTGGCTTTTTGGTCTTTCTCCTGATACTAGAGGAAAAGCTTCAGCTTTTCATTACTGAGTATACTGTTAGCTGTGGATCTGTTGTATATGACCACTCATTATGCTGAGACACATTGTTTTATACTGAATTTGTTGACGGTTGTTATCATGAAAAAGTGTTGAAAAAAATTGTACGCATCTATTGATATGATCATATGATTTTTACTGTTCATATTGTAAATGTGATATATTTATTGATTTGTGTATGTTGAACCATACTTGTACCCCATGGATAAACTCTACTTGATCATGGTTTATGATTGTTTTAATGTGCTGTTGAGTTTGGTTTGATAGCATTTTCTTGAGGATTTTTCCTATATGTTTATCAGGGATATTGGCCTGTAATTTCTTTTCTCATAATGTCCTTTTCTGGCAAAGCCTTTGTCTTTGATGCTTGATACCAAAGTATCGGGGTAATGGTAGTAGCATAGTAAATGAGTTTTGGAGGCGTTTCTTCTTTAGTTTTTTGGAAGGGTTTGAGAAGTTTGTAATTCTTCTTTAAAGGCTTGATATAGTTCGCCTGTAAAACCATCAAATTCTAGGTTTTCTTTCTTGGGGGTTTCTTTGTTTACTGATTCAATCTCCTTACCCATTGATCAGTTCAGATTTTTTTATTGTTTTATGATTCAGTCTTGGTAGGTTGCATGTTTCTACAAATTTATTCTTTTCTTCTAGGTTACAAAATTTAATAGTCTATATTTGTTCACAGTATTATGATCTTTTGTATTTCCGTGGTATCATTCGTAATTTCTTTTCTTTCCCTTAAAATTTTATTTATTTGATTCCTCACTCTTTTTCTTGGATAGCCTATCTGAAGTTTTATCAATTTTGTTTCTTTTTTAATTAAAGAAACCTCTTAAATTTGTTGATTTTTGTATTGTTTTTCCAGTCTCTATTTCATTTATTCCAGTTCTAATTGGTATTATTTCATTTCTTACACTACCTTTGGGTGAAATTTGTTGTTTTTTATATTTCCTTTAGCTGTACATTTAAGTTGTTTATCCAGTATCTTTCTTTTCTCTAAATGTTGTTTTCAGTTTTGTAACATTGTGGCCAGAAAAGATACTTGATATATTTCAAGCTCTTTAAATTTGTTAAGATTTGTTTTGTGGCTAAAACCTATGCTCTATGCTGGAGAATATTATTTTAATTCTCTTCAACTTTTTAAGTTCCAGGGTACATGTGCAGGATATACAGGTTTGTTACACAGGTAAACATGTGCCATGGTGGCCTGCAGCACAGATCAGCCCATCACCTAGGATTAAGCCCAGCATCCATTAGCTGTTCTTCCTGATGCTCCCCCTCCTCCCAGTTCCTCATGACATACCCCAGTGTGTGCTGTTCCCCACCATGTGTCCATGTGTTCTTATCATTCGGCTACCACTTATAAGTAAGAACATGCAGTGTTTGGCTCTCTGTTCCTGCATTAGTTTGTTGAGGATAATAGCTTCCAGCTCTATCCATGTCCCTGCAAAGAACAGGATCTCATTCCTTTTATAGCTGCATAGTATTCCATGGTATGTATGTGCCACATTTTCTTTATCCAGTCTATCATTGATGGGCATTTGGGTTGATTCCATATCTTTGCTATTGTGAACAGTGCTTCTATGTACATATGCATGCATGTATCTTTATAACAGAATGATTTATATTCCTTTGGGTATGTATCCAGTAATGGGATTGCTGGGTCAATTTTGGCTTTTATTGTAATTGCTTTTGATGTTTTCATCATGAAATCTTTGCCTATGCCTATGTCTTGAATGGTACTGCCTAGATTTTCATTGAGGGTTTTTATAGTTTTGGGTTTTGCAATTAAGTCTTTAATCCATCTTGAGTTAACTTTTGTAGGCCACAGAAAATGGGAAGCAGAATATTAAATATACTAACTAGTCAAGATTAAAAATATGTATATGTAGGAATTTAGTGATTAAATAGTTCCAGATAGTTTTATCTGGAAGGTGGTATCAGATAAATAAGGGCATTCAACCCCATGGCAGAGTAGGTTAGAAATACTGAGTAACATTAAAAGAAATGGGAGTCACTGAAGATTCTTGGAAAGGATACTAAATTCTTATAAAAAATTCTCGATATGGGGATGACTTAAGTAATCTAGTACAGCCATATCAATTGGACTTAATTTCTTGCAAGTAATTGGTATAACAGTGAGGACTTAACAACACCCAAGCCTCTTTTCTCTAGATGCAGACTTTATTCTCTCATGTCAAAGTATTATGAGAGGAATACTTTAAGAAATTTAGAAGAATCCCAAAAAGACAGTGATCAGAGAGTAATTTCTAAAATGTATATTACAGCAAAATGTATACAATTATATAAATATTGCAAATCTTTAATCAAACAACAGATTATTAACTTCATATAACTATAATCATTTCAGTTGGGGATGAAGTGACTTCATACAGAAGACAACATACTATTTACTATATGATGCTAAGATCACTAAAGATCTAACTTCTGAATGTACTGTATTTTCCAAAAACATTGTGTTATTGATTTTGTTTAGTGATTAAACATTATCATAAATCATGTTTGTTGGATACTTGTCTATAAAACATTTAGAAAAAAAGCTGTACTAAAACAGATAATTCATAAATTGACATTTCATTGAATCACAACCAAGGAAGATAGACAAGATAAATTACATGAAGGCAAAATAAAATTATACATTCTTATTCTCTTTATTCTTCCTAATGCTTTGCTTTATTTCATCTGCCATAATAAAATGTTTTGCTATAATAAAATAGGTAGAGAATATTTAAGTATTCTAAAGACACTCTAGTGATTATAAATGATATAGTTGGCTACTTGGTACTTGAGAAAATTCTTTTGTAAAAATAGGTTCTTCAGCTTTCAAAGGACTCAAGTAGCCAGAACATAAAAGTACACATGCTCAGTACATCTTTCATGAAGTTCATTCAGATGTTTCAAGGCAGCAAACATAAAAGAAGCCTTTAAAAATTTTCACAGTAGATCAAAGAAAGATGTGAGTAAATTTCATTCTGTATTCCCCTGTCAGCTCATATTACCATTCAAGTTATTACATGCACGGTAAAAAATAATGGAAAGACAGTATTTAGTATTTTAAATTGAAAAAATTTGGATTTGAATATAAGAAGTGAAGCTTAAAATATATTCCTCCTCCAAAATTTAACCAATTTATCTAGTAGAAATAACAGTGAAATTGCTTACAAAGCTTTTGACTAGGTAACTTTTTAGTTAGTTCTATTTAGAAATGGAAGTGATATTGATAAATTTTCCGGTTCAAGCAAAACAAAGAAAACCAGTACTGAGTAAAATGGTGAGTCATTTGCTGCATTTTCTCTTTTTCCCAGTCACATTAAAGGACTTCACTGTTAATGTGTTTATTTTGCAGAAATCTAGAGAATATGTGGTAAAGGACCTGAGGCCAAGGCCGGTGGATCGCATGAGGTCAGGGGTTCAAGACCAGCCTGGCCAACATAGTGAAACACTGTCTCTACTAAAAATACAAAATTTAGCCAGGCATGGTGGTGGGCATCTGTAATCCCAGCTACTCGGGAGGCTGAGGCAGGAGAATCACTTGAACCCAAGAGGCAGAGGTTTCAGTAAACAGAGTGCCACGGCATTCCAGCCTGGGTGAGAGAGCAAAACTCTGCACACACACACACAAAAAAAAAATGAAAAGAAAAAATTTAATACTTTTTTACTTTTAGAGTCATATTCACTGATCACATTATACTTCAGGTGGTTATAAGATTTTGAATGTATAAACAGCATTGCATGGAAAGAATAAAAGTCTATATTTATAACTGAACTAAAGGTTTTTGAAATGACTTTTGAAAATCTTTTAAAATAGAACATATGGAGATGGGAAGGAAACTTTGTTGGCTTAAAAATAAAATTTGAAAACTATAGAAACATTTAAATCTGGGAAAAGAATATAAAAATAAGTGTTATTGGAAATGTCAGTGTAAATTAAATCTCATTAATAACCCACAATGAATGGTGATAAATAGAACAACAAAATATGTAAATCAAGGATATAAGATACTAAAATGAATAAACTGGAAATATAAGGGCATATTAAGTGGTAATTAAAATCATTCAAATAAATGTCTGCATCAAAATGAACCATTTAATTGTTGCTATTGCAAAGTTGATTAAGAAGATTGTTTAATTCTTACTGAGACAGGAGAAAAGGTCTACTGAGATTAACTGTTGCAAATAATTTTTTTTTGGTCTTTGCCAGTGTATTTGAGTGTTTTTATACAAATGTAAGGAGGCCATATGAATAACATTGTCTAAGTTTCAGGTGATTGCTTTGTCCGAATGGAATATGATACATAAATGGAAATTGTTTTTCCCCACAGTAAATAAGGTGCCAAGAAAAGACACAGGCTGTGATTGTGAACACCCTCAGTTCTGATCTGAGGGTATCCATTATCACTGCTTTTCTAGATAAAATACAGGAGTACACTATGGTTGGTTTACTCACCTGAAATTCATCATGTCTAATATTAAAGCAATGATTTTTAAAATATCAAGCAGATTATATATCTGCTACCTTAACAGCTGTATCATCCTGCCACTGTGATATATAACATTTTCCTTTGTTTCTATCTGAATGTTATATAAGCTAGTGTTCATAAATACAAGGCATGTGGAAATATAGAGACAGGCCATGAAAATTACTAAGTGCCCCAGCAGCAAAGCCAACAACAATGAAAGAAATATTTAGATGACTACGAACACCTATTTCAGATTGTAGGTAAATAAAATTTAGGGAGAAGTGTAAAACTTGAAAGCAAAAGCTGTTTAATGTTTAAGTCCAAGGATTCAGTATTGAAAATAGGAAATGATAACAGTATTTTAAAAGATTGGATGCAATATATTTGTTTATAGGCAAATAAGTCACCACAAAAAGGCAAAAAGTTGGTTGATATAACCACCTGGTTTGGAACTATGTAACAATTTAATCTCGCCTCATGAGATGCAGTATTCTTGTATAATTGATCGTATAGAATTATACTAAATTACACTGTTATATGAAAAGTGCTCTTCATTATATTTTACTATTTCCATAGATAGAGACATATTTGTCTCTGTCTCCATAAAATGTAAGAGGTTGTAAAAGTTTGTCAGAAGAATGAGGAGGTAAAAAGAAATATTTACTTTTTGTTTTCCATTTCAATTTTGACAGCATTATCTGATTTTGGACATCATTAACGTCTCTCTTTATCTTAATACAACTGAGGCTGTGGTATTCTAACCATTCACCTCTGTACTAAAGGATTAGTATTGTACTTTTGGCCCGAGGCCTTTTTTTTACTGGCCTGCAGCACTATTCAGCTAGCTCCCAGCCTGGGGAATCTGGAAGTGCTGGAGCATCAACAGCCCTCGCTTAAACGGCAATGGACCAGTGACAAATGGAGTTAGTTGGTAAATTTCCCAACCCTCTGGCTCCTCAGAAGAGATGACTGCAGTTTGAATATTTGACCCTCTCCTCCACACCTCATATTGAAATTTCATCCCCAGTGCTGTAGGTGGGGCCTATTGGGAGGTATTTGAGTCATGGAATGGATCCCTCCTGGGTGGTGCTGACCACAGGGTAATGAGGTGAGTTCTCACTCTACTGGTTCCTTGAAGAGCTGGTTCCCCCATCTCTTGTCCCTTCTCTCACCATGTGATCTTTGTACAAAAGCCTGCTCCTGTTTCCCTTCTACCATGAGTGGAAGCAGCCTGAAGCCCCTACATCAGAAGCAGATTCTACAGGACGCTTCTTGTGTAGCCTGTGCAAACATGAGCTGAATAAACCTCTTTTCTTTAGAAATTACTTGGCTTCAAGTGTTCCTTTATAGTAACACAAACGTACTAAAAGGGGCATTCATTCTCTTCTTGTCTACCTTTCTAATGTGCATGACAACATGAGATAAAAAGTGGCAGCAAGTTCCTGAACTCTTAGGAACTTACTTGTCAAGAGTTTATTTCAACCCTGGGTAAAAGATGCCTATAAACACATGCCACTCTCCACAGATTGCATATTAACAAGACAAGGTTTTTGCCTATTATATTTGCACATAGACTGTTACTGCAGACTTGCTTTAAGGTCTTAATTTTTAAAACTTTGAGAGCTTTAATGATTTGGATCTCAAGTTGTTTAAAGCAATTTGTATACTTATTTTATTCCTTCTGGCTATTTATTTTTCTTGTATGTCACTTAGAAAGGCCAAGCATGAAATTGGAGCTGCAAAGCAAGAACAAATTTATTGATATGATACTGCTCTGAAAACTCAATAGGTGTGCAACACAGCAAGAAGGGTAAAGGGACTGAATAATTCATTGAAGCTTTAAGCATCAATAAATAATACTTAGAGTGAGAAATGTCTGCTTTGCAACATTAGGTATGAAATGTGAGTATAAAAGACATCTTCAATGTGCCAGTTGTGAGAATATTCAAAGAAACAACGGTTATTTTTTTCATTAATAATTCTGTGGCTAACAATACTGGGCATTTAAAAAATTGGGAACTTAGAAACTTATTCTGTCTAGTGTCTCACATTGTATCTACATAGGTCAAATTAGGTCAAATTATGGATAACAACATAATAAAAGCAGAATATTTTATTTATTTAAAATGATGTATAATCATGAAGATATTATTGTTTTAACTGTAAATTCAATGTCACTTATTTGTGTACCAGGAAAATCATGAATACATTGTCAGCTATATTTAAAACAAGACAAATGTCACATTCTTACCAAACACACGGTAACTAACACTACTGTTTCTATCAGCTCTAGAGTTTACTATACTTGTGGAACTACTTATTCACAAACAAATGAGTCCAATGGTAAGGAATAAACATTTAGCAACTTTAAACAGTAGACATAATATTGACACAATTGGCAAGATAGCTATTACTAAATAAAGAACCGCATTGAATCCTAAGAAACAAATTAAAATATATATTAAGTAGAATGTGATAAAACAATATAGTACACTGGAAGCAGTATGAGCTGTGGAGTAAAAGACTTCTGCTATTTGACTTCCTAAATTTATTAACTTGAACAACATAGGAAAGAAGAAGGGACATGAAGGTGATGTAAAGCATAAATTGCTTAGAATCTATTATGCAACTTTAGTTTACTTACTGTACAAGTTAACAAATTTCTCTGTTTTGCAGTTTCTTCATTATTATCAGTGTTAATCATTTCATCTACCTCCTATAGATTCGTTGTATGGATAAGAATATACATATATTATATTGATATGTTATATATAATAGGTATCAATATAGTATGTTACATGTAATATATACAGTGTATCTATATAGTATAGTATAGTATATACTATATATAGTATGTCTATATAGTATAGTATATAAATATATGTTAGAATACACATATATAATTCACAATATTAAACTGCATTAGACATTCGATAATATTATTTCAATGTCTTTGAAAATTCAATTAAAAAATGCCTATCTACTTAGATGGGCAATAAAGGAAGGTAATAAAGATTAAATAAAATAGCACAATGTCTGGATCATAGTAACCACTTAGTGTTACTTCTCCCCATCATCTTCACATTTTCTTTGTTTATCTCAAAGTAGAACAGATAATTGAATTAGAAATGTAAATAACTATAAATAGTTCTTAATTTTGAAGTGGGTTTATTCCACAAATGTATCCAATTGAATAATACAATTTTTTTTTTTTTGAGACGGAGTTTCACTCTTGTTACCCAGGCTGGAGTGCAATGGCACGATCTCGGCTCACCGCAACCTCCGCCTCCTGGGTTCAGGCAATTCTCCTGCCTCAGCCTCCTGAGTAGCTGGAATTACAGGCACGTATCACCATGCCCAGCTAATTTTTTGGAATAATACAATATTTTAATGGAATGAATGTCAACAATCTAAATCACTTAGTTAGGTACCACTTTGCCATTTTTTCTTAGGTAATAAGGAAGCCAAACAACAAATGGCTTCAGGAGAATGAAATGGTATAACCCTAGACTTACTGAAAATTAAACACAGTGTAACTGAATTATTGGAATATGTTTATAATATACATTTTACAAGCGGTTGATACTTTATTTTTCTAGATATTTGGGGATGCTTACAGATGACAATTATAAGAATTACATAAAGCACATGCCATGCAGTTATGCTTTCAGAAGGGAGATATAAAAACACTACAAATAGAGTTGCAAAGACAAGTACAATTATTGACATTTTTAACTATTGTTAATAAATGGCTTGTGATTTTTAAGGACAAATAATTATTCAAAATGATGCATCCTAAATAATAAATGATAATTAGATAATTACAGATAAATTAGGTATTCTATAGGGAATAGCAAAGAATATGAAGCCACTGAAAAGTATACATTTCTTAAAAGTCTATTATCTAATTTTATTTTACTTTTTGAAAGATACTTATGGAAAGAAACATGATGTGTTGAATCTGAGCCCTTTTTCATACTACTTAATTTCAGCAATATTATTTACTTTTTAAAAGCAGAGATATAGAAATTAGTGAGGTCAAAAAAATGATTTATATAATGGGAAAAAAGGGTTAAGGAAAAGCTGATAGATGCATTTATTAAATCTGAAAAACAAAGCAAGAAAGTAAGTTCTATATGTAAGAGATCCAGTTTCTAAAAAGACAAAACAAATTGTGCAGGCAAGAAGTGATAGCAATTGCACATTTGAGTCTTAGTGAAACAGAAATTACAGTCCTAGCCTGATGTAAGAGAGAGGCAGTGGCTTAATTCAGTGTTTTGCTCAAGGCAATATTTGTTGTCCTCAAGTCACATCAATTAAAATCAGACTGAGAGAAGAAGGAAAATGATATAGACTTCAGAACTATTCTACATGAGTTCTACCTATGTAATGTATAAAAATAGGAAAATGATGAAAATATGCTTTAGAACAGAAAAAAGGGGAAAGATAAATGAATCACTAAAACAAGATAGGACTATTTCAGCACGACTATATTTTTACCTCTCCTATATCCTTCATCACACTATATCCTACATCAGCATATTTTACTACCAAGAAAAATAAAAAAGCGTTAGGGTTAGGGTTATATTGAATGTTTACTGTGAACCACACATTTTTCTAAGCATTTATAGACATATATTTGATCCTCAAAATTACTATGATAATCACAATTTTACACATAAGGAATATGAGGCCCAAATAGTTTAAATAAATTAACTACTCATTGCTACCTAGGTAATATGCAAAAATAAGATTCAGGTAGTCTACTTCTGAGATTTCAACATATAATAATTATATTTCTTTGCATGTCCAAGGTGCTTCCTTTTCTAGCCCCTCTACATATGCCTGTCCTGATTTCTCTTCTCTCCTTCACAAAACAGTACATCCCAGCCACACCAAACTATTGAGAGCTCTTGGATCATTTCATGTTATTTGCTGTTTCATACCATCACATTTGCTTTCATATTGCCACTGAAATCCTTCTATCTGTAAAGTGTCTAATTCTATTAAAAATCTAATTTCCTTTAATAATTTATTTTTAATTTAACTTATATTAAAAATCAACTGAAGTTCACTTCCTCAATGAATCCTTCCATCCAACACCCAGGGAGAGTTTGTACTATCTCACACAAACAATGTTTTCCCGGCACCTAGGAATTCAATAACTAGTCATGGTACCTGTTCTTACTAACAATGTTTTCCCGGCACCTAGGAATTCAATAACTAGTCATGGTACCTGTTCTTACTAACAATGTTTTCTTGGCACCTAGGAATTCAATAACTAGTCATGGTACCTGTTCTTAAAAAACTTATGGTTTGACAGTAAATAACTAGATAACTAGACAAATAAGTATATAATTAATCCACTGCTGCTGTATAGACTTTTAAGAAAAGGAAATGTAGAAATTCTACAAGTTCTACAAAAACATAAAGAATGAATGCATTGCCCAGGCACAGGGAATGACGGAGAGTAACAGAGAAACTGGCATCTAAGTCAGGCATAAAATAAGTGAAGAATAAAGGATGAAAGGTCCAGGATAAAGGCTATGTTAGGCACGTCTTCTTATGTAATCCATTTATTATGGAATTTATTGCTATACATAATTATTTGTTTCTATATCTGTCTCACCTACACCACTAAAAAGCAGCTACCTAAGACCATGTTCTCTCTTTTCATCATGTAACTAGCACAGAATTGATATATTGTAGTCCTCAGTCTAGAATTTGTTAAATGCAGAAATAAATCATTTAATAACGGGCTAAGAAGAAATCAATAC